GAATATTACCTTATGTATCTTTCTTATAATAAGGGATAGAAACATGAAAATTTGGGGTAACGTTCGCGTACTTACAAGGGATAAGACACCAACGGTTGAGCATTTTTGGGTTTACCATAAGAAAGAACGAACAATTTTTCTGAGAACGACCAAGACTTTTGGCTCACCCTTTAATTCGAAGAAAAATAAACAAAAAGCAGAAGTTCAAAGATACTTTCTTTTTTTTGTTTTTGGTCGAAGGTTATTAAGACAAATTAAACTTAAATAGGAAATAGTGATGAACTCTACAATAGCCTAGATTTAACGAAACTTAATATCGATATATAAGATCAGTTCTTTATTCTCATCTTTTTCGATTTTTTAATTTTGAAGTCTTTCAAAAAATATGGTAATAGGGCTTCAATCTCGTTTGATAAGTTTATTAAAATTTGCGAAAAATTATCAGATATACAACTTTGTAGTTCTTATTTTACAATGTGTCACTATATGATTAATACATGTCTCTAATAATCCAAATAGATACATTTTTATCATTAAAGTCAGTGAAAATGTCTACACCTAATTTGTGTACTTCTTGTTTGAACCAAGACATGTGGTAGTTAAAAGTAGATGCTCGAGAATAAACGTTGATACGTGATAATTTTGATAAATGCTTTATCAGAAATAATAAAGAATCTTTTTTATAGATTGTACATGTAACTTGTTCAATATTTGAAAATTGGTTCAAGTCATATGAATTATTCGATGAATTTTGAGAATAATTTGATATATCTAATTTTTTAATCATTTTATTTAAATATTTACATAATTCATTATCGTCGAATAATGATATTAAAATATCCCGATTTATAATTATTGATGATGTTTCTAATTTATAATTGGATGAGATAGTTAAATGTTTCACATTAGATAAGTTAATAATTATTTTTAGAAATTTTATATGTTCAGCAAAGAATCGTGATCCGATGAATTTTCTAATATTATTGATGTTACATGAGAAAAGTGATATTGACATTTTTCTGTTAATACATCAAGGTTGATTGTCAAATCTACGACATTATCGAATGTATTGACATTGTACCAGTGATGTTGTTTTTGCCAAAAATTACTTTGAAATTGTTCGAATTTTTCATGAATGATATTATTTTCGTTTTTATGAAAACATTCAAATTTAAACTTGAAAATATTCAAATAAGGTAATGAAGAGGTTATATAATATTGCCATTTACAAGCATCAATTATTTGTATTTCATCAAGAGTGTCTATTATTAAACTTTTTAAATTTGGTGTTCGTTTTAATAATATTAAAAGATCATTAAATTTAACTTGAAATGATGTCATAATCAATTGTTTCAGATAAATACCATGGTGATTAGTAGAATGTACATGCGTGTTTGTCTAAGTAAGTTCATTTTTCGAGTTATGTTGTGCGTTTAAATATTTTAATCTAGATACAATATTCAATATTTGCCATAGTTCATAGAAATAATAATGAAAAATTGTTAAATTTGTAATGAACGAAACTTTATAGATGAGATTTAAGACCGAAGATAATCCTGGTATCATTAATATTTGTAGTTGAGACCTCGGTAATTTGTTTGTTTCATTCGCAGAAACGATAAAGTGAAAAGAGGATAGTTGACATATTAATGGTAACATCGATTTCAACTGCTGTACATTGTCTTCTTTTAATTTCAGTCAAGATCAATGATCGAAGATGAGAAAATTCTGCAAATGAAAAGAGTGAGAAAAATGACTGGATCTGACTTTATTAGGTAAATGTAATGAACAAATTTGTTTTTTCATTTCTTCATTAGACAATATTTCTGTAGAACAAGTACGTATGAGCGTTATCTGTGAAAATAATTCCAATTCTTACAAATGATATGAAGTCTCAGCCAACAATAGCAAATGTTCTATGATTGGTCATTTGATTCTTTTTTTTGGACGGAGCTAGATATAACTTTTATATTAGTTGATAGAGAAAATTATTCTCTATTGCACTGCGTTCTTGGATTTTTTTAAAAAAGAGGCAAGTAGTGATAAAAACCGTCATCAAAGATGAGATCGTAGCGACCTCTTCATGGTGTATTTTGCTTTTATTGGGTTAAGCTCAGAAATTTATGCTTGGGCCCGACAAATAAACACCTATCTGGTCTCTTTTTTTCTATTTGGCCTCGAAAAATTCTCGATATTAACTTAGAAAGATCATCGTTGTTAATATGTATAATGTAATAAAGAGAAAGATAATGTTAAGTTTGTTAAATCAATAACACAAAAAAAAATCTTAGAGAATCGTACTACCGAAAAGTAGCAGTTGGTGCAGAATAAGTTAGACTGTTTGTATTTTTCATATTTCTCCTCTATCCTTTACTCGATTGAAATACTTTTTTCTCAAAAGATAGCGCTTGAAATTCTCTACGAAACCATATATAGTTGGACCTTCAAAATTGTTTTAAATATATTTGTAAAAAGATGAAAAGTAAAGACATACAAATATCTTTAAAAAATAAATATGAAAATGATGATTAATGGTGTCACACCTACTTTTTGGAAGGTTTTTTTTGTTTATACGGCCGCAGAACCGACAAGCTAGTGGATCGTGTAGATCTCGATCTGCTCTACAACTTTTGCTTTAGAAAGATGGTCAAAATTTTGCTCAGGAATAAAGTTACGACTCGCACATCCTGAGGGCACCACTTTCATTCAAAGAAAGTGATACTGTCACTCGGAAGCAAAAGCTGTAGAGCAGATCAAGATCTTGCAAGATATTTTAAATATTTGCAATTTTTGTGTATAAATACAGGTCAACAACACATGCAGACAAATGCGAATTTGCAAGTTTTTCAATAAAACATACGAGATCATGCATCACTCTGATGTGTGCTGATACTTGCCATGCATTAATCATTTCATGTTAATGCAAAAAAGTCCTATCTACAAAAACTAATAGTGAAACGATTCTATTTTGACATGCAGAATTTGACTATTTGGTTGTATACATGTTGTTCTATGCAAGAACTTAGTTTTTTCATCGACATGTGTGCTCTTCTATAACCATATATTGTATTAGCTCAAAAAATTTGTTCATTTTTTAAAACTTCTCAGAGTTGTTAGCATTCATATACATACGTGTCCAACAGTTATCGAATGATCATTATATTCGCCAGTTTTCATTACATTTCTAATGTGAGTAAATGGCTGAATGATGAAGAAGTTTGTCTTATAAAACAAAGTATGTATGTTCGAATCTTATATTTGAAAAAATAACTTCTGCGTGTTCACGCATATCTGTGACCTGTGCTTCATTTTTTTTATCATTCTAATATTGTCTAACATGCACCCGCAAGGGTTTTTACAAAATCACTTGTGTGTTCTCGCGAATATAGTTTCTTCTCTACCGCGTTCACAAGCATGTCATGTCATAATGATGCATCTTTGTACGTATGCCGATAATGTTGCGACTACACACATTTTTTAAGTGTTTGCATTTGACTGTAAAAAAATTGTTTCAGTTTTTTTTCCAACAAAAACAAACGAAAAGCGAGTTAATATTACCTTGTATGAGCCTCGAAAATTAATTTTTGCCTATAATACGTGATGCTAGCACAAAGGAAAAAATAACATTAATATAAAGAGAAAGGAGACTACTGATGGATGTATGTTATGTAATAATAATAACGAAAGAATAAGATTGTTTTAGCTAAAGTTTATTTTATTTAACTATATTGATGTGATATGTCGACACTATTTTTCATCATTCGAGAAGTATTTTATTATTGACATTAAAATATTTTTATAGTTTTTTTTTTAATTAAAACAATATCATCTTATCATTCAAGAGTCTAGATTATTTTCTATTCTCATCGTCATTTACTTTCAAAATTACAAGTTTAAGTATATTGAAAATACAAGAAAATGAGTTCAATAATTAAAGAATAAGGACTTTTTTGTATATGACAATAAATAACAATATGAAGATGGAAAACAATCTAGGATATTAAAGCATAATTTGATATTATTTTAAATAAAAAAAATAATGAATTTCAATTTGAAAAATAAAACAAAGATGTCTGATGATAAATAGTGTCAAAATATTACAATAATTTGTTGAAATCTTTTCTTTTATGCTTGAATAGTATGATAATTTGTTACAATAAAAAAAGAGTGGAGAGATATAAATATAAATATAAATCTTATAATTCAAAAATAATAAAATCTATTTATTTTATTGATTAATATATTAAAATTATTTTTCATGTCGAAGTTTGAAAAACTCAAGCAATTATTTTGATTAAACATAAAACAAACGAAACAATGCTGGTATTCTTTAGATACTTTTCTCAATGCTGTTCATTGTTGATATTGATTGATACATCAAGATTTGAATTCATCCAACAGTTTTAGCAAAATTTCGAATTCTTTTCTCGAGGATGTGAATACGTATGCGTAGAAATGTAAAACCATTAACGATACTCATTTATACCGGGTGTAGTGTGAGTCTTCTCTTTAGCCAGGTTCATACAAACAGTTATATTTACCTCATTTTTTTTTCTACTTCATCATCAGGACATCAACTTTCGATTGAAGACAAATCCTAGAATAGATAGGCACTAGTAAAAAGATCTTCCTAATTTTCTTGGAACTTTTGTTTATGATTCTTGTGTAACTTGAGTTCATTATTTCTTTGTTTACTTCTTATCATTTTCTAAATGATATGTCCTTCTAAAAGATCTATCACTGCAGATAGAAGAATAATTATTCACTTTTATTCCACAGAGAAACTATTGCAATATATTATGTAGATAGCAAGAAAAATAAGCAATAAAATATATCATCTTAACAGATGCACATGTTATTAGGCAATTGCTCCTTTAGAATTATTATGGTTAAATATAACAAATAAATAAACGCATAGATAGATAAATAAATAAATAGAAAAATGATAAAAAAAGCAGTTCCGTTTGTGCATCGACGACTTGATACACAGTAGAATTAAATTAGACTATGAAGTGGGCCTGTTTTTCTTTAATCAGTCGAGCAGCTTTGAATGCGTAGATAATCCTCAAAATCTGCAACAAGGAATTAATCATTAAATATATACAAGATAAAGTTATACGAGAGTACTTACGCTTAAAATATTAGCAATACCAATTATAACGATGATAATGATTGCTAGAACGATTCCTCCAGCGACATTGTGTGCTGCCGATGCAGTTATAACAATTGCAATGATGAGAAGTACAATCAGACAGATAAGATATACAAGTTGTAGGATGCCAATGCAAGCACACTATCAAGACGAAAATGAACGATAAAGTGAACATAAAATCATACTTACAATAAGAATACCGGTGCGAATATATTTGATAACCACACAAAGAAAAATAATTTCATATATCAGTGCAATAAAACCTACAAAAATAAAATGAAAGATGAATATCAAAAACAAAATCCATAACTTACTTGCTACCACAGTGCCAATCAAAGTATCCATAGACGTTTTATTATAATCTTTGCCGTCATAATGACTATAACTGATTAGTGCGACTAAGTTCCAAATGAAATAGAACAATGTACAAGCCTGAATAGAAATGTTGAAAATAGATCAAATATGATTTTATCTCAATATGAATTTTTTGTTATTTAGAACGTACAATTTCGATTGAAATGAGAGTGAGGAGAATTACACGTGTCCGTCTTAATGCTTTGATTACACCAGCACTATTTTGATTAGATGTCAATTGAGTAGATTGTGAAATAGCGTTGTTATCGTTGTTTGTAAATGATTCAACAACATTTACATAGCCTTTAGCCGATTGGGACTGCATTATTGTGAAAAATAAAGGTTCTTGTCCTTGACGATCAAATATACTGTATGATGAATCTGAATAAAACCAGTGATACGAATCACTAACGCATATAAATAGGAAGAAAAATACATGTGTTTATAAACATATTAGTTAACAAAAAAAAGCCCACATTTAAGGATGGGAGGAGTCATGATCCTCTTTTCCCTCTTTTTATCCTAATTAGTCATATGTGGTATTTGTTTATACACGTGAAACAAATGTTTATTCAATAATGGAAAAATCCGATCGATCACATTTTTGTTTGTACTGTAGATATGATGTCACTTTTTCTTTTAGACATCAATAAAGGATATTTCTCATGGAGTATAGAAAAAAAATATCGAAAAATACATCAATGTTATAATCTGCATCTTCTTCAAATGCAGTCATATGGATTTTTCCTTTTTGTCTGTAGTATTATACATATGCATTTATGTTCTTCTTCTTCTTTTTCTTATTGTTAGTCATGCGTCATGGGCTTTTTCTTTCATGTTGTTCTTCTTTATTCATTGTTTATGGAATATTCCTATGCTATCGTCCTATGTATATTCGTTAGATTGTTATGTTACTCTACTCGAAATGTCTTACATCCATACTTAGTTTCAACTTTCTAACTCGTACCATCGTTGAGTTATAAGAGATATATTACACAAAAAAAAAACGTTATTTTTGGTGACATGTGCAAAGAAAAGGGAGTTTTTTGACTATAATAAAACATGAGGAAGTCTTTTCAATGATTAAAGTCATTTTCACTATTGAATTAAGCAGAGATTAAACTTTACAACATGTATTTCCCATAATATCTAGTAACGAACCAATCGTAACAAAAAGTTGCAATTCACTCATATGTATATAATCTCAATAATTCTTTTTTTGTTTCATACAAAAAAAAAATCGACGTGAAATTTTTTTACAAAAACCGTATTGAGTGTTTTATAACAAAATATGAAAATGAAAAACTTCGCAAAAAATCTCAAGAACTTTTAAAGCCGTTGGTATTCTAATAAAAAATATGAACTTTTGCTATTTTTATATTTCTGTATGCTAAGATAGGAAAATCTAAATATCTACTTAGCAATTCTTGAAAAGCTCTATCTTCTGCTTCTAATTAAAAACATATTACACCACAACCAACTAGAAGGGAAGTCTTTTCGTTTTACGTTTTTTTTTTACTTAAATCATCACTTTTGAATCATAGCTTTGCACCATTATAGAAAATTCTTATATATCTCTCAAAACAGAATATATTGGACTCAAACTTACTTTATTTCACAGATAAATGTTATATCCAATTAGAAGATATTTAATAACTTTGTTTCGTTCAATAAGCTGAATTAAAAGATAAAATTTTCGATTTTAATTAATTTATTCCAAGAAAGTTATCCTTTCTATTGTAACATTAGACTTTGATGAATATACTCATATGATTTATTTTGATAAAAATAATTTTCTATATTTCTCATCTTCAATTATTAAGTCTTTATATTTCCCATGTACATCTTAAAAAAGAAAAATCTATGTAAACAAAAATAAATATTCACAATAAAAAAAAAAATATTATCTCACTTCATTTATAGGTTTCAATATTCAATAGTAAAGTTTTTACAAATTTTATCATTAATACAACATTCAATCATCTTAAATCACTTAGCATTGTTGAAATTTTAGCAAAAAAAACCTCATGAAAATTTTTATCACATCTATTGTTATTACGTAATGATATTAAACATGATTATCGAAATCATC